AATACTTTTTCCCTGTGCCATTCCACATTATTACAAATAACTTCATTTCTGGACATTTATGGTTTGATTTCTTTGTATGTATGGATCACACCTCTAGTAATATATTTACTGAGAAAAATGGTGACGTGTTCAATACTTATTTTACCCGCTGTAAATGTGTGCAAACTTCATTTTATAAATGTTGCACTACTATCAGTTTCACATTACACAACTGTTTATGTAAAACATTAAGGTTGGTTGCAAGTGCAAACAGGAAAGTGTCATCAGCAGCTAGTGAAATCACATGTTGGGAGTGAGAACGTGTTATTATATCCATCATCCACTGCGACCTTGGCTTCAGACTAATGCCTGGTTCACACTGCAAGATTAAAACATTTCCGGGTTGCTTTTCAAAACCTGAGAGAGCCCACATGTAATGATAAATTTCTTTAGATTGAACAGGTTRGGGCCTACAGTGTGTGGTATAGTCACACAGCAAAAGACAACACACACAGATTTCACTTACAGGCATTTAGATGTCAGACGGGAAATCTCACAAAAGCTTTCAAGATCAAGCGTGAGTTCAGAGTAAATAAACACAGCCAACAAGGAAGAAGTGACYMTYATAGTTTGTGGACTATTTTTATTAGAGGYAAAAAAAGACGCCTCCGATGTCCACCAGACTTTCTGGTGCGCTATGGCAGACATGTTGTTTTCTGCATTTTGTATTTCCCTCTGTGTTTCTGTCACCTTGCTGATTGACTGKACATCACATTCAACAGGCTGCGAGCTCATCTGTCCAAACACATGTTGGGATATCAGGTCAAGACAACCCAACATGTTGAACTTGAGATCAATGACATTGGGACTGACTAGTGATCTAATTGTCTCGGACGACTAGATCACTCAACTCAGCACACACGGCAGGAATGRCTTCTAAGATTATCTGTAGAGCCAATAGTTGGGGCGCCCTTAAGATTGCTGGAAGGACAAAATCAAGTCAAAAATCAGCATAATTATCTTGCCGTGTAAACCAGACTTTACAATCAGCTCATCTGGTCAAAGACGGATTCCATAACTCCAAACTTATTTGACTGGCAGAAGCTTTGCAGAAAACTGCATTTGTGAATGCTGAGTTGTGTCTTTATAGAACTTGAAAAGCAACATTTACTCTTCTGTACAGTTGTTTAACTTGGTCTTGTTCTTTACTTTCATATTTAGCAGTAGATTCACTCATTTATGATTCTAAGCTTGTTCTGCCATATTAGTTTCCACACACAGACTACAGGCCCGCCATTGGTCAAGCATGTGACACACACTTCCATGTGGTTTTCAAAGGATTCAACCTTTGTGTACAATGATCGTAGACCCACATTTCTGAGTTATAGTCAACATATGTGGGAAACTACAAGAGTAATATCTCTCAAACTGCATTTTTGGATATATMTCAGGAGAGTCTTTTTTCTTGATGTATTTCATACCTCAAAAAAGAAATCAGTAAAAAAATGGTCTCAAATCCATAAAAAGATGTGGGGAGCCTTCATGAGCAGGGAACAGAAACTGAGCTGACACAAACACTTTAATCCAACCAGCAGCCTGACGAATGTCTGAAGTCAAGCTGACAAACATCACTAATTCTGTTAAGCACGGTATTGAACTACAGCCTTACTTTTGAATTTTAGACCATTTAAATGAGCAGTTTTGCTTATTTGATACCCCCCCCCCCCCCCCCACTATTAGTTGTTAACCCAACAAGTTGAAACAACAATCAGGCTAAAACCCATTTTACAGTGAAGCTGAGTCATTTTCACTGAATATAGGCGACAACCAAGAATTGATTTATAATGACTGCAGTTTTGTGCCGTAAAATGCAGAAATCAGCCATCATCGCTGTCACCTGGCAAATAAAAAAAACACCCATTCTCTGCACGTGTGTACATAAATGTCAACAACACAATACCATATTGTTTGACACCTGCCTGTGGTGCCCCCCCCCCCCCCCCCCCCCCCCCCAGCATGGCTTGTAGCATCAGGCAACCTCTGCTGCAGAGCAGTTACACAGACAGAGACGGAGCACCTGCCCTCGTGCCGGAGCGCTGTTCCCAGCAGCTTGCTAATGTCAACCTGCCTGATACGCACAGCAGGGTGGGGGGGCTCCAAGACAGCAGCAATTTTCCACTGCATGCGAATGAGGCTCGAGAGCAATCTGCTGGCCTAAGAGCCTCATAATCAGCACATCATTATCAGTAGGGGATGGCGCATGTGGTGCAAGCCGGGTGAGGAGAGAGGAAATAAAAGGAGGGAGGAAAGGACGACACCAAATGAGCTCCTGTTGACATTGAGGAGTTAGAAGACACTGGGAGGGGAAAGGGGCAGCTCATACGAGGTGGAAAAAAAGACTCAGATTTGCAGCAAAGATATACATTATAAGCAAACACCGCCCCTTGTTTGCACATCAACAGGAGCTCTTTGAGAAGCAAAAAGCAGACTTTATTTAGCCCACAGTGGCTCAGATGTTCCCTGTTAGTTTGTGTTACTGCTGGTCTTTTAACTCACAACAGCTAATGGCAGATATACAGATACACCGTGACAGCTCTTTGAAGCTTACCTTCCCCGCATGAATTTTTCAGCGAGTTCAAAAGGAGCAAGGACAACAAAGCTCTTATGTACATGCTTCCCTTTTTTTTAGAAGTGCCCAGAATTTCCTGTGTACTCAAACTTGCCTTTAATCCTCCYTCTGATGATGGAGGGGCCATTCAGATCGGACCATTGAAGGGCAGCAACAGGACACTGTTGCTTGATCCGAGACTAATTTCTGAAACACAGCAAAGTGCGAGCAGTCTGCTCCTGCAGGGTGGTTGAGCCCGTGCAGCATCACCTCCTATTTAGAACGCAGAAAATAGCAACTTGCACTCTTCAGACTACATGACCCAGTTAATTTCTTTAACCCTCTGCAAATAAGAGATTTAAAAAAACATTCACAAACAGCTTGTGAAGATTTAGTTGTCATCAGGTTGTTTTCTGTAATCCAGGCTTTTGGTTTCAATGTGTCAACAATCAATCAGAACTGTCTAAAGACTTCTCTGTACCACTTCCTGCCACGTGGGGGCAGTAGCGCACAGAGCACTTGAGCTGACTTGTCTTGGCTCGGGTTGTGCGCTCTGCCACAGTCTATATGATGTCTAATTCATAAAAAGAGGAGCCTCTGGACTATGTGGTCATAAGAAATGGCTCTGAAAATCCAAGAGGGAGTACTTCTTCTTCTTTTTTTTTTTAGAATAAAGAAGTTGTTTGGGGTTTGCAGTCTAATAACTCTGGACAGAGTCTATTTGTTGGTCCAAAGGCACAACAATTTGAAGCCATTATAGGCTCTGCCTTGTTTATGAGTTGTTGCACTGTCAAATCAAGGTTTTCAGGTAGAAAGAAAGAAAAAAAAAACTTGGAGATTTGTACATGAGGATCTGATGTCAATAGGAACCTGTCTCACATACTTGACAGCCGAGCAAATTCAATTGGACTGACTCCGCCTCGCTCATGCGGGACTTGTCCAAAAGCAGGCTTTCTCCACGCCGCCGTGCACCCTGTCTGCGTGCCCCTGCTGCTCCTCTCCCTGTCGGAGTCTCTCCTCCTTCACGCACACCCCCCGACTTCCCTCCCATCAGCCCAGTCACTCACCCCCCCTCCATCATCAGCAGGCGAGGAGCAGCCAGACGCGCAGGAACCCCCACCCCCAAAAAACGCAAGCGGCGGCAGGAGCAGGAAGCGGCAGGAGCCAGGACACTTTCCCCGGGAGCAACATGTTCCCAGCCCGGAGACGACTGGGGGTCCGAGGCAGCACCGGCAGCGGCGGGGGCTCGACGGGACCAAAGCGGACCAGGTTTGGAGCTGGACAGGTTGGACAGGTGCGGGTCTCCTGTTGGATTCTGCTGCTGTCGACTTCTATCCCCAGCGCTCATCCTCAAGGTAACTCAGTTTTRATGTGTTTGTAGTTGAAAAAGTAAATACATAAAATAAAGTCTGTAAGGTAATGCAACGAAGTGAGACAAATACATAAAAGATGCGAAAGATAAACTCAACAAATGTAAGYGATTAATCTTAAGTTGGATTCATTTCCCTGATTAAATGCGTCCCAGCAGCTGTTAATAGAACAGACTGGGGGCTTAAGGTCCAAGCATTCAAGGAGAACGACCTGCAGCTTGAAAAGGACTATTATAGTGACAAATGTTGGCTGCTTTTAAAGAGAGGACGTGTGCTCTGCCATCCTGAGCAATTTAAGTTGTTCCTAACATGATCAATGCAAAGTCTCTTAAAGCCTTTCTGACAGCAGTCAAACCTATTTTCCCCACTCATGTAGTATATTTTAAAAACAAATGATTTTTTTTTTATTTTACCTGTGCTTTTATTGGGAAATTTGGCAAATTGTGTGACCCTGGGAGGGCTCAGGATTGTCTCTGCTGTAGATTTACCTCCAAGACAGCCGTAAACACACATGACTACAGTGTGGGACGAGCAGAAGCAGATGTTTTGGAGGCTGCGTTGCATCTGTCTGCATCTGCATTCAGCCTTGGAGGCTGTGTGAAATTAACGTGCATCCTGCAGAGTACATAAATCAGGCTTTCACGCCGCTTTCATTCGTGTCCAACACAGTCGGGGCCGAGGAGACGCAGATGTGTACAAGAAACGGCTACTGTGAAACCGTTGTGACTTCCTCGCTTGTCATTTGTCAGCTGATGACCTCTTGGCCAGTGTGAAGATAATGAGATCTGCCAAAAAAAAAAAAAAAGGCAGAAAACCATGGAGAGCCATCACATCCTGCCTAAACGCACAAGTAACTGCTGGTTGTTGGTGGTGGGAGGGTGGGAAGTGAAGGTAAGTTGATAAAGGAGAAAGGAAACTGCGGGTTTGGGGTGATGTTCCAATTATGTGCACCGCTATCTAATCCATGGTCATGGCTTTTATTGTTGACACATACGGATGCGCGTTTGATGTCCTTGGAGCATTTATCTTTGCAGGTCTTGAAAGAAGAAGCAAAAGAGAAGTCGCATTTRGAAGGCTGATTCATGTGAGACTTGCCTTCTATAAGCACTCCCCATTTCCCCGTCACACTGCTCGGTGCACCAAAGTGCTAAAAGCAGCATAATCCCCGCGCTTGTTTGTCTTTGAACAACTCACATTGCTCTAAAGTACTCCCAACCTTATCTGAAAATAGTCTCTGGCGTCTCTTATTATGCAAGGCACAGTTCCTCTAGCTGTTATTAGCATCCCTTTCTCAAGCCAACACGCCTGGAGTGTGTGAGGATCTGTTGAGTGCTACTGGGCTACTTTGCTGGGTTTTTAACTTTCCTTCCCCCCAAACGAACCTCTCACTTATCCTTCCTTTTTGTGTGTGTGTGTGCGTGATTGTGAGCATTCCCGATGTTGCATTTGCATCGCTGAGAGATCCGCTGTTTTGTCTGCGTGCTCTTACAATCAAGGAGGGCCTCGATTCCTGCTTTTTTTTTTGGGATGGCACAGTCGCGGTCTTTGCAGGGGGTCCTCTCTGCATCCAGAGGCGCCTTGTTCCCCTGAAGTGGAAGGCAGCTCACATCCTCAGAGGGAATCCTTGTTTGCAAATGAGTAGCAAAAGAAAAAAGAAAGTTAGAGACTCTGTAGTCGTTCCCTGAGTGAAGAGGACCTCTGAGGATGTCGGAAATTAGGCGACACGCAGGCACCACCGGGGAACAGGTGGCATGTAGCTGCTTGTTTTTCAGCAGGTTCGTATTGATGCTCCTGCTGAGTTTAATACAGATGGCTGTTCCAGCGCGTGAGGGGCTACGTGGTGGATCCGCAGGGAAACCTTTCTGCAGGTTTTACTCGGCAAACCATTTAAAGACTCATGTAGATCTCCCTAATCGAAATCCCGAGTAAATAGATGAGAGCTTCTGCCTCCCCCCACCCCACAGCCATCTTTGTAATGGTTTTCTCCTCCTCAATACCTGAAAGCTGCAGAGATCTATGTCCATTTGAGTGAGTGTGTTTTCTGCCCCGCACATTGTTGTGTGCATCTGCAAAAAGTGAGCGAGTGTGCGGGTGAGCGTGCAAGTCGCCGGTGCTTGTGTTGAGCTTTAATCTTGATAGCGGCATTGACATTCTGCCAAACGACAGCTGCTATAATTTTCTGGACGTACGTTATTACGCAGCTTGACAGCTGTCAGCCATTTCCAAATCTTTAAATCTTACCATAATCCACCGTGCTTACACACAGACACACACACACAAAAAATAAAAAAACAGCGTTTGTTTAAAACACTCTGAATCCTTGTGTGATTAAAACTCCCCCGCTCTAATGCAAGGCTCTACATCATAATTCATCTACGACGGTGGCACACAAACACGCACAGCGGCGCACACGTCCACAAAAGAATGGAAAAATCAATACGAGCTGGATCCCACAAAACAACTATATTAGTATTTTATCAAAATTACAGGCATCTCTCCCTACAGACTAACTGGTATATTTGCCCTCACATAAAACATTATTTAAAAAAAAAACTTCACTTATTAATACGGATTGTTTACGTGCATATTCCCAATGTTAGTACAATAGTTTCATGTTTATTAAGCTATACATAATGAAATGATGACACCATGTATAAGCCGATGTAATTACTGCATTTTCCCATCTTGAACCCTTCTGTATGTTGTAGCAAATTCTCAGTTGTCATGTCCTAATTACAAATGGTGCATATTTATCGCCCGCTGCCAAATAGCTAATGCTGACAATTATGGTTTTGCCTCTGTGCACGCGCTCGTCTGTCTGTTAATAAAATATCTCATTAACCATTAAACGCATTTTGACGAGACTTTCGGGAAGTAATTATTAGGTGTACATTTACAACTGACAAACATGTGGAGTCGATACATTTCAAGACTGCTGCTGCAGTCAACTGATCATTAAAAACACAGAAATGCTGATAACTTTTTCAAATTTTGCACAATTTGTGCAACGATTTGTTGTGATAGTAGCTGAGAGTAGTTCCCATCATGTACTCCAAGTGCCAATCATTGCAATGGTTTTTACTGAAAACTTTAGCAATAATGTTTGGAATTAATCTTGTTTGTCTGTTAGAAAAATATCTCATGAACCCCTGAAGAAATTTTAATGAAACATCCAGAAAATAATCACTGGATGTCCATCGAGAACTGTTTACCTTTAGGATTCTGTCAACTTCAAGATGGCCGCCACAGCTCATACCCATCAGCCAACATTAAAACGGCTAAAATTCCAATAATTTTACAGAAACTGAGCTAAAACTGAATGTGGTAGTACCTGAGAGTCATTACAAACGCATACTTTGAGCCTGATGTGGTTTGGCTTAACTTATGTTAAACCACAAGTCTGCCATTTCCCAACATAAGATGAGCTTAAATAGATGATCTCTGGCACGAAATGCTGTGCATTCCTTTAAGGAATGCGAGGCTTTTAATTATGACATATACATTTTTGTGTCAGTAGAAATACAGTCCATTAAATGTGTTTTCTGCTCCAGAGAGCCAACAGATGTTGAAATTTGGACTAAGTGCTCGTTTTCTTTGCAATGTGGCTCATGCCAGGAAAGCCCAGTGAGCTTTTCGCCCAGCCTCAGGTGAAACAGTGGCAGCTTCCATATCTGACTCCTTGTGTGTCTTCAGTGCCAGCCTCAAACGTCTGGCTGGTTGGCTGCTTTTTGTTGTTTTTTTTTATTTTTATTTTCCTTCCCTTTTCTTTTTCTTCTTGCTGCCAAATGCTGTCGACACATGTTTATTCATGCTGCCACAAGATGGAACGTGTCACAGCTGAATGGGGAAAAAAAGGCCTAAATTTTGGGGAAAATAAACAGTATTTGATTTGGGAAAACTTCGAAAAAAATGATTGTGCGTGAGAGTGACAAATGATTACAATCAACCCTATTGTTAAAGAACAAAAGGGCTGCTGCGTTGTCAGTGTTTTTTTTTTTTAGCTTCAGGAAGGCTTTAATTGGCTCAGTTGAGCAGGAAAACTGTGTTTATAGTTCATAATGGAAATGTAATCAAATTAACTGCAGGGTTTTGGCATTCTCCCTTCGCCTAGTGATTGCCATTTGCCCATAGGGCTCTATAACGACTATTTGCATGGGGCAAAGAGGTCTGTCTCACCAAATGTGTGCCACGCTGATGTCTGCATATTAGGATGGATGGCTAAAAGTCGTATTCTCCAAAAAATTTAAGTTTTTTTTTCTCATTGTTGGTGTTAAACAGTTATTTCAGCTTCTGTTTAGAATTCTGTTCTCTGAAGTAGCTTGAAAATGAGTAGCACAAACCTTCATTCCACGAAAAAGAAAACAAGTTATTCAAGAATGATTCTTTACTTACAGAGAACTCTTTTTATTTGTCTCGCTGAGTGAAAAACATAGTTTGAGTAAGGTACGCTCAAATTAGATTTTTCAGTAATAACAGCATCAATTTTGCGGGCAATTTCTCCTTTTGGCGCCGATTTTAATCACATAGCTGAGAGTGGTTTTGTTATATCTACTTGTTTACTGATGAGAGGGAGCGGAGTGGCGCTGCAGGCGGAAACATACAAATTTCTCACATATTAATTCTCTTGGCTAAACGTCTAATCAATCTGACACAGAGCTCGGAGGCACTTCAACTATCAGGAATTTAAAAGTGTCTCAGAGGAAGCCCTGAGCCGGGACAAAAACTGAAAGCCGAAATGACCTTGGCTATTGTGTGGAGGAGAATGTGAAGTGGCATCATTTGTTTATTTTTGTCTAATATGATTTTGACCATTAAGGAGCAAAGATGTTTTCATCAGGATCCGTACAGAGAGCATTTTTTAAAGCCTTCACAAATTGGGCTTTCACTTTCATCTATGAAAACGAGGGATTGAACTCGAGCGGCATTTGGAACCAAACACACGTCTTTGAGCCCCCAGCTGTTCCATGTAAACATTTAAACAACAC